TGTTCCTGTTTGGCTGTGACTCCATCCTGGAGAGAAATATCAGCTGTGCTGCTGCCATCAACACCTTTGTTTCTAGATGTTACAGCTTGGCCTGTTTTTCAGTGTAGTCCTGTTTCTCTGACTGTGACAACAGGACAGCGTGTCATTAGGTGATGCAAGCAGACCAAAGATGTTTGCATGATTATGAAGGTGTTTTATGGAAATTTTAAATTTTATATCTAAACCCTTTTCTACCTGGAGACGATGTAACCATTGATCTGGAGAAACTTGAGGATGTCTTGAGCTTTTTCTCTGTCCCTGGATTTCTCTTTGGCCGTCAGGGTGTCATAGGGAACAAGAAGAGGATGCCTTCCTCCGCCTGAACAACACATCATAACAGGAGAAACAAACTGAAACCTTCACCGTTCCAAGAAGAACAACAATCAAAGCAGGAAATAGTCTCCTAAAGAAATCCGTGTTTTTCATGCCAAAAAGAAATTAACAGTTTCATATTCTAAAAACAGAAAATACTGACTTTGCTTTGGTGAAAAATGTAAAATATTTTATATTCAAAATTGTCAAAATTATTCATGTTTATTCCACTAGTATAAATCCTGCTGTTTAAAAACACTTTTATAGAAGTTAGAGGATCAGCTGCACCTTTTTACTCCAGTAAAAAATAAAATACCAAGTAAAATTACCATTTTTTAAACTACTTAAAGTATAAAAGTAATGCAGGAAAAACTGTTCATGCCAGAAGCTTTACTGCTCTACCCTATTAAAAGATTTTTTTTTCTTAAATAGGCAGGATAACTTCCTTAGACTTCATTTTCTTAGCTTTATAACTAATGGTAACAGTGTCACATTTAATTTTGCATCATCTTGAAAAAAAAACAACACTTTATTTTGTATGGGGTTAGCAACAAGTTGGGGCAGCACCGAGTCAAACACAAAGAAATTAATTGTCTGAATGAAACTAATCATTTTGATATATTTTTTTTAAAAATACCAACAGGCCATAATGAAAATGAGCTTAAATTAAACTAAACTAACAAGTCTATTTTTAAAATGTAAGGAGTAGAAGGAAAAAGTTGTTTAATTGCTGCAGTAAAGTATAGATAGCCAACATTTCTACCTAAAGGTATAGTGGAGGAAAGACACAACTAAAAAAAAAAATATTGCACATATACTACCCTGTATCTGCTCCTATAGGAACGTCTATTAAACGTGTACGAGAGCGTGCATGAGCCCATTTCTCTACACTGTGCGATATTTCAATTGTTGCTCGCAGCTACAACTCAAACTGTATGATGAAACTGCAGGGATTTAAGGTTCACAGCTCACCAACACTCTAATGCGATCTACCTGCTTATACTGCGTGTCTAAAGACCACGCGTTGGACTCAGCGCCGAGAGATGGCGCTGGTTGGACACCTCAATCTGGAAGAAGAAGAAGAACTACCTTGTACATGCTACATGCTCAATGATCAAGGTTCTGGTAAATCAGCTTGTGGCTCAGCTTCAACAGCAGGATTTACCCACGACCACCTCACTAGGGCCGACTGAATTTCAGACATTTCTGATTTTCTCCATCCTTATGATTCCTGATGGGGAGGTCGTCGTTAGGCCCAATTTTTCAATTGGCCCGATTGAAAAATTTGTCCACAACAGTAGAATCTGCCCAAAAACAGGCAAATAATCGTACAGTGTATGCCCAGCTTTATTGAGAACGGAGTCTTCAACAGGGGGTCTGCGACCCCCAGGGGTCCACGGAGGTACTGCATGGGGGTCACGAAAGTTTCGGTTGATTAGCCTTTTTTTTTTTTTTTTTTCCACTAATTGAAATGTCTTTAAATCCACATTAACATAAATTCATCACACTGTAGTAAACAGATAAATGGAGGCAGAAGATGTCTTTCAGTCATCAATGCTCACATTCAGCGACACACAGGAGCTCTTTCAAGCTGGGCACCGTTTCATTCACAACACCTGTCCCATCAATGAGGGATCTGAATCAGAAATACTTTAATAATCCCAGGGAGAAATTACTTTAGTGACATTACTCCATCTGTAACAGAGTGACTATAGAACCAGTTTGATAGAACACTATTTAATACAATAAATATAATTAGGGGGTCCCCGCTCCATCTCACCATCAGTTTGGGGTCCTTGGAAAACATTGAAGACCCCTTTTTTAGAAGATCCACCCCGAAACAGAACATCCTCCACTATACCTTTAAGTCAGGTAACAAAGTATTTGTACTTTGTTATTAGACACCTCTGATAATATATTATCAATTATTTGTTTGGTTTAGATTGACTGAAGGACATCAGCAGTGAATAACTACCATCCTTCATCCTCGGTTTGGTTTGAATCCATCATGGAGGATTTTACCTTTAGCTTCCAGCTCCATCTTCTTTTTCCTTGCCCAGATATTATGATAATTCTCAGCAAGCAGCTCTGCCATCGACTGCAGAAACAGAAAGATTATCATGTTTTACAGCAAAAGTACCCGTTAGTCTTAACAAGTTAATCCTGACCAGTCATTATGTAAGCTCCTGTATGTTTAAAGCTTTCACTGCGTCTTTTTTACCTGCATGTCTCTGGACAGCGTAACGTTGCTCATGTCGACGGGTCTGGGACTGAAAGCTGGAGCGCCTTCAAAAGACAGCTGTGGGACAGGAGGAGGAAGTCATAACACGTACCAGCATGTTGAAGAGGCAGCTGGTTGTGTTTCAGTGTGTTCTGAACCTGGAACTGTGACCCGACTCTGTCCTTGATTCTCCATCAGCACCTCACCGGATCTCTGACCTCCTGGCTCTGACAACTGACCGCATCACAGACACAGGCTACGCCCTCTGGATTATCCTGCCTACATTCATCTGCACGGCTCTGACCTTCTGCCTGTCCTACGACCACTGATACATCAGTGTCTGGGAGTCACTGTGAGGCGACCGCCACGATGGCAGCCGGTGGTCAGATGAGCATACCCTGTCAGACCAGCATACCCATAGTCAATACGAATGCACAATGTGCAATCAGATTTGCTTTTATCCAGTGGCGAATAATTTTCACTGCGCTTCTGATCCCTTTCTCAGTAAAAACAACTCCTATATTCATGTCAAGGTTGTAACATCCAGTTTAATCAGCAGCTGTTGTCTATAAACTTGTAAAATAAGTAAATAGANGCTGTTGTCTATAAACTTGTAAAATAAGTAAATAGATTAGGTCCTTTTAAGCTGTTTTGTGCTGTTTTTTAAACGCCAAGAGAATCAGTCTTTTTCCAACTTCTGTCAGTTAAGCCTGGCAGAAATAAAATTCAGTCACCAAACACAGTTTTCCTACACATAGTGTTTATCCCGTTCTAATGTTAAATATGACAGATTACTTGCAGGTCAATTAATTTCTTCCCATGTTCTGGAGCGGGAATTTTTATGTGTAATAACATGTAGTATACTAGAAATGTCCTTAATCCAGTAATCTGTCATATTTTACATTAGAAAAGGATTTACCAGAACATCTACACTCTCATCTTCACCCTCAGGGCTAAGCCCCTGATCTCCTAGAATCCTAGATCCTCCCCTGCTTTTATCCCTTTAGGTTTGTACAAAAAATAGACGGATACACGCCCGTTGAGGTAGTTTAAAGTCTATTTTTCATACAAAGGTAAAGGAATAAATGGGTATTGACTATAGGTATGCTGGTCTGACCAGGTATGCTCATCTGACAGAGCACCAACCTCACCCTCTGGGCTCAGACTGAACTATAAGATCAGGTTAGTGACTCACATGTTCGTGATCATTCAATCCAAGAAAGACGTGGTCACTAACCTGCTGTTTTCCACCCGCAGAGTTTCCTGCGATAGATGCCAACGCCATTTACTCTGATTCTGTTTTCAATAAAAATTCTGAGAAATCTGTTTGCCTGCCTTGAATCCTGGATCCTTCTGTTCTGAGCTCGACACATTTCATTTCACAAAATGTAAATCAGAGAAGGAACTGCGCATATAACATCTTATGCATCTTATGACCAGCAAGTAGTTTGTTTTTTTAAGTTGACCAAATATCCTAAGTTAAACATAAACCAATGCAAATTGCAGCTGTATATATTAGTATATATAGCCATATATTGCAAAGATCCTTGCTTAATAACAGGTGTAACATTAGTGTGTGGCTGCGGCGTGTACATCTGATGCTGCTCGCTGGGATCCTCTTGGAAAATTCGAGGGAACATTGATTGTGATGTGATCACTGAAGCATAAATATATGATTGAATACATAAATATAAAAGCCTCATCACATAAATGTTGTTTAGATAAACAGATGTAATATTTTTTTATGTGACACAGGATTTAAACATTAAATATGCAATTAAAGGTTATTCAATTACTAAAATGTCCTTTGAAAATAACTAAAGATATAATTTTAATGATTAATGAAATAATTCAATATCATTTAAAAAGATTTTATTTTTTAGAATTTCAGACCAGCATACCCATAGTCAACACGCATGCGCAGATTTGTTTTATCCCTTTAGTTTTTTATGTAAAATAGAATTTAAACTACCTCGACAGGCGTGTATCCCTTTAGTTATGTACATAAAAACTAATTTAACTACTTAGTTTTTGGTGTTTTTTTTAAGTGCATGGCGATCTGACCTTAATTTTTTATTTTTATTTTTTCTACATGACTAAAGGGATAAACGCTCGTTAAGGTAATTTAAAGTCTTATTTTCGAACAAAACTAAAGGGATAAATGCAAATCTGACGTCTTGAGCACGCATATTGACTATGGGTATGCTCATCTGACAGAAAACCGGCCCTGAAAGTACTAGAATTACTTAGAAAGCAAAATAATTATAGAAATCCTTAAATAAATTTCTTTTGAAATGATATTTAATTATTTAATAGTTTTTTTCAAAGGACATTTAAAAGTGTAATTACATTTAATTACATATATAATGTTTAAATCCTGCGGTTGGTTTCATGTTAACTGTTGGTTCAGAGGCTGAAATGTTAAAGGACGTTTTTAAGCTAATCTAGATGCTACACGTCCCGCTCTGCATCCTTTAGCTTAGCACAGGGTTGGCGGGGAAACAGGAAGCACACTCGGGGCCGGTTTACCTGGCTGGCCTGTGAGATCCGTCTGGATTTGTTGTGGAGGGCAGCAGCGTCTCCTTCTCTGCTCCTCTCAATGCTCCAGCCCCACGACAGCATTGTCTTCAGAGACTCCCGCACCGCCCAGCAGTATGCCTCCTTATCCTGCCCCAATGACAAACCCGCTCTAGATCACAGCTTTAAACTCAGAACAGCTCATCAGGGAAACAGGAAGTGGTTCCAAAGTGCTGGGGATGTTTTAGAAAGCAAAGTTAGAGGAATCAAAGCTGACCTTCTCAGAGAGGCTTTTGTACGGTTTCAGCAGAGGATGGGTCTTACTACTCTCACACAGCTGCTCCTCATAGGTCCACCCCTTGGAAAACTAAAACACATGGAGGTGAACTCATTTCTTTTACAGAAATTCATCTTTTTGTCACATAGGCAGACTTTCTGTTCACTAAATAAAACAAACTGTTTTCATGTCTAATCATGTTATCAGTTTGCAAGAAGATGACAGTAATTACTCAATAAACACAGGCTGAACAAAAAGTTTATGAAATATCTTTTAGCTGTAGCATATTTTTAGAGTGGCTGCAGACAGAGTGACTCACTTAAACACATAATGACATTCAGAACACTGAAAGAACTGGGGCCTGTTTCACAAAGCAGGTTTAACAAAGTCAGACTCAAATCCTCAACTCTGAATTGATCCATCCTGAGGTTGGAAACTCAGTTTTCAGTTTCATAATTCAATCAGTTCTAAGTAGATCCACTCAGAGTTAAACGCATGCACTTATAGTATGAAAAGCCATCCTCAATGGAGCCCAGATTTAACGAGTTACCATGACAACGGGAAACAGGAAGTGCCTATTTCCCCCCACTGTTACTAGAGATTTCATGAAGAAATAAAAAAAAAGAATTTGTTTAAAAGACAGAGAAACAGCTCTACAGCTGCAAAGGAGAAAATTGTTGCTGGAGTTAATGCGTAGGTTTATATAAAGTGGGCTATGGCAGGCCGTTTTTACATTTATTAAAGCACTCTCCTCTCTGTTGTTCCATTTGTAGATCAATATTTAAAATGTCACATTTTTTTTAAATCACCACTAACAAAAATTGTTATTTGTTTGCAACAGTAATGGAACAAAAGCTCTATTAATGAAACTGCTATAAAACTCTGGCGGTAAGAAAGGACGGTTTGCTGCTTTTGTTTTGGTAAAAGAAAAGTATAAAGATGAAAGTCAAGCTTCAGAGCGAGGTGTGACCTCTTGACCTCACCTTCTCTATGCACCACCTCTCATGGTTATGCTCTGCATATCTGCTTACGAAATAGTCCAGCTTCTCAGGAACCGTCACACTGAAGAGAGAAACACATTGCATTAAAATAATACTTCATGTTATTATGGCTAAAACTTTATCGAAAAGAAATTCAGGTTTGAGACGTAAGCAAACTGGAGCCTGTGGCGTCACGTACTGAGCGGTGTCTGCAGGCTGGGGGTTGAAGTTTCCCTCTGAGTCCATAGATGACTGTTTCTCCATCAGTGCCATGTAGTTGGACTCCATGTAGTCTGGAGGCAGCGCTCCGGCCACGGCGCTCAGACATGGCAGCGCCAGCTTGAACAGCTCCTGGTCGTAACGCTGGATCATAACAACCCAGAAAACACAGTCAGTTTTTATCAGCAGAGATCCTCCACATCTGTTTGCACGTTTCTACATTCATCCAGGTCTACAGCATTTGGTAAAACCAAGCATCATCAGCATAAAAACATAAAAAAAACTCCACATGATCTCGAAACAACGGAAGACGTAAAGACAAAAAGAATTGGTTTTGAGGGCACTGTTTGGCGTTTCTTCTGTCATCTACTGATAAAATTATCCATATGTTGACGGTCCTGCTTCTGTTTTGGCATTTTTAGATTAATCAGTGTGAGAAGGTCATATGTGAGCTAAAAAAAACACATTTAATCTATGAATAAGAAGCAGAACGGCTGCAAAGATCAAATCAGCTGAATGAAGGAAATATAACTTTATAGAATCCAATTTAATTCAATGAATTCCACTACAGTCTAATCTTATAGTCTCATTTAGTCTAATCTAATTTAATAGTCTACTTCAGATCCAGTTTGGTCAAAAACAATCCTAATGATACTGTAAAGTTAAAGGAAGCAACAATTCAGCAAAGGAGCACAGAATCATTGATTTAACAGCAGGTGTATGGAGAGAAATTTAAACCAACATTATTGAACACAAACAACGTGTTGCAGAAAAGGAAACTGAAAGCAGCTCTGTTACAAAAATGGCCTTACAGCCTTTAATTAGTTTGCTGTTTTTACAGATTTTTTAATTTCTTTTATTCTCATTTTATTCTTAAAATTATATTATTTCACAGTTTTTTTTTCTAATTTTATTTTTACCAGTAAAGTCTGCTCTGCTTGGAAACTAGCAACCCAGGAGTGAAAAGCGAAAAATCTGTAGAAAAAGGATTGGAAAAGAAAGTAATTCAATGAAACCCACTCCCACAGACTGCCACTCTGGGTCTCTGAGCAAAGACCCTTAACCCCACACTGCTCCCCTGGAGACGCACAATGGCAGCCCTCTGCTCCCCAAGGGGAGGGGTTAAATGCGGAGGTTAATTTCTCCAATGTGAGATCAATAAAGTTAAATTATTATTATAAACTTTTTATTATATTATTATAAATAAATTTCTCTCCATGCAGTTAACCATCCTGAGCGACTTAAAGGAGAAGTTCGGTTTTTTACACTTTAAGCGCATTTTCTGTAGTGTCCAGGATGAAATCGAATGATCGACACCAAAA